TCTGTCGATTATATGGAGCAGCGCGACGCTAAAGTCACTATTGAAATAAGAGTTTTAGGCTATGTGAGACAGATTAGTTGAATTATTCATGTTTGTTAGGTTTCCCATGAGGGCTGTTTGTGAACTGATTCAATCCGAGGTGTTGCCGAGTATCATCAGGAAGAAGGTTGCTAGTATTGTCATTTGTGATGTTATTGAGCCTTTCAAACGGCGCTAGGTGAGGTGGAGGAGGGGGTGGGTCACTTGTTGCTATTTTTTAAAAAAAAGGGCTATATTTGAAGATAATGAATGGTACATGTCCATGATGAATCGTAGTCATTGTTTTTTTTTACCTTTTTTTCATTTTTACCATTATTCAAAGAATTTTTATTTTATTTATATTTAACACATTGGATGAATGAATAACATAGATTTATAAACAATTCCTATCTAAATGGTTGCCATAGTAATGCATCTCCTGCTGATGGCATTCTTTTCCATTAATTTCGGTTTTCAGCGGATAATGAGTTGAAATAACAAAACTTCCAAAGTCATTCTATTATGCGTTAAACAACTTTCACTGCTGTTTGTCATAGCCAAGAAAATAAATAAAAATAAATACAATATTGTAGATGTTGTATTATGAAATACACTTAAACTCAATTTTTAGGACAGTAGTAAAGCATAGTTTATTTCCAAAATTTAGAAGAATTCAGTAAAAATTATATTATTATGTATAATGTATATAAAACTATTGTTATACTGAAAACTGACTAAATTATATGTCATCTTTTTTAAAATGTTTTAACAATATTGAATATTAGAATTTGTATCCATAGTAATATACGACTTTTTCATGTTACCAAGCGACTTTTTGAGATATAAAAGAATAGTCTTACCATAGAAACCATATTTAATGACATTTCAGACTTTTGTATCTTAAATAATAGTCAAATGACCAACATTTTTTTATTTAATTTTGAGTATCCTGATGCATGAATCTTTAAAAATGAAGGTATGAAGACCATAACATATAAATTTTAATTTGGCTGGAATTGGGTGATAGTTTTCTTTTTGGCCATTTTATTTTGTCTTTAATAGACATGAATAACATTTCCTTCTCATTGCAACGGGGACTGTGTCATTATCGACGACTTGTTTCTTTTCAGAGAGGTTATAAAGATGTAGGGCTGTCATTTACATATAACCAAATAAGTTCATACTAATAGAATTTAGGTTCTTTCTGAGGTATCCAAGATCTCTGAAGTTACACATCGACACAATGGTCAGTGAAAGCAAGCACAATAAATATGATTATTTATAAAACTATTATTCGTTCAACCAGGGTGTCAACAATATGAAGATTTTAGGGATTTCCCTGGTGTAGCATTCAAACTGAAGAATTTAAAAAAAAAAAAAAAAAATCCTTGGCTTCACATCAGCTAGAAAGCTAGTGTAACTTGCACGCAAAAAGTCACTGTGATCCAGGGAAATGTTAACTCACACAAATTTCACAATTTTCTTTGAAAATTTGTTTCTTGTGAAATCCATTAACCGCTTTTTATTATTATCACTAAATTGCAATTTATGATCACAATTATGCTTTTAATTAGTTGTATAAAAAAAAAATTGTCTCATTTTAATTTGAAAACAATTTTTATTATGACTCCCAATTCATTCTTAATATCTTAAGGTACCTTGTCAGACTTCTTTGTTCATATATATATATTACCTGTATCTCTCGATTTTGTCTTCAAAACAACATGATAATCTAGATCAAATTACATGAAAAGTCAGTAATAGGGTGATCCGGGGATTGATTGTATGTTAAACTACTCCAAGCATTTATTTTCATTCTCAAGTGGCCGACATAGTATTTACTGCGTAGGTTATGGCCTCTGGAAGAGTAAACAAAATTCTACATGTCTAAATATTTGTGTAGCATATCAGCTAATTATTTGAGGTGACCGCCTTCCAGTTGGTATTCTTCACTAAATCTGTTGGGCAGATGGAATCCCTGAAGGCATATGCTTGTCTGCGGTTTTCTTTTGACAGTCAAAAGAATGCTACCAGTTCTGAACTTTGGATGACGATAGGGGGCACTGGGATGCACGCATAATTGCATAATTTTTTTTTTCTTTACGCAGAATGCCAGAGCAAAATGAGATCACCATTTGTAAACTATATACAGTATATACTAGCAATTACATAATAAATCATACTTTTACGTGTATGTCTTTGTTTTTACTATGAAGCAAAATATAATTAATCCCTTGCTAACTAACATCATGAAATAACAATGAACTGCATGGCTTTAGCACATGAGTGAGATTATAGCTATTAATTTTCTCATCATGAGTTCATACCTGACCCCCCCCCCCTTCTTGTTAACTCAAATTAGATAACTTTATTTTTTCTTTGAGGAGTACATATAGGAGTACATATAGAGGTGTGCATAAACCAAAAATTGCATATGACTTTCTGTAAAATACTTTATTTTAGCTGGAATTAATTTTCACTGAAAAGACATGTTTGGTGTTTTTGTATGGAATTTATTTTCACTGATTTTTGACAACTTGAATATAAAATATAGGAAAAACGGTATATCCGTTGGATTTTATTTTCACTGAATCATTCCTTCAGCAAAAATAGCAAAAATTAATTCCAAGTGAAAATAAAAAGTATTTTACAGTAATTATTTGACCATTAAGCCATCTACTAATGAAGAAAATATGGTATATAATAATCCCATTGTTCATATTTAGATATTAAGTGACATTATTATCATTACCTGTATTATGATACTAAGATACCATTTCAGTCATTCCAAAAAATTCTGTTGTTAAACTAAAAAAAAAAAAATATTAAAATAAAATAAAAAACATAGGAATGTTAAAACAAACCATTTCAACTATAATATGTCAATTTTGCATTCTTTTGTTTTTACGAAACCTCTCAGTGTGGTGATACATATATGCACATGTTCCAGTGCTGCACAGAGCATTCATGCTATGACTGGAGTGTGTCGAGCTGATTCCATACTTGCCAGTGTCCTTGCCTGTGGTTAGCATGCTACTGTTTCTTCAATACAGTGAATCCCATATTCGATGTCTTGTTGTAATAAATGATAGCGGCATATATTAATTATGTTAGAGAATTTACCTCAAAACAGAGTGATGCAAAATAACGGTGATTGGTTACGTCTGACAGATACACACTAAAATTCATAGCATTCAAAGTCTCCATAAAAAAAAACAACACCTTCCCAATTGAATTTTGACTTGATTAAAAAAAATACATCTTATAAAACACCCTTAATCTGTGAACTCACTTACATCATCTTCTTAATATATGAAATGTTGGCCAATTATAAATTGAAAATAACTGACATGTTCTTTGGAAATAAACTTTTAATAATAAGCTAGTGTATGTACCGGTAATATGAGTGTATAGTTTCAGGGGCCAAGCAGTTACATACATTGACATGCATTTCTTTTTATCAGTACCCAATTACATGTAGAGAGATCTTCACTGAGTTCTCTCCCATACAAGTTTAGAGGTTCTTTGCTGTTATAGCTCTAGCAGTACGTGCAGTTTATGTAAAAACGTACGTGTACACACTGTGTGTACACTACATAGCATTGTTGAAGAGTTGCAGTGCATTGTGAGATGAAAGCCAACTGAATCTTGTGTGATGTCCTTTTTGCGTTTCAGAGTAATTCAAGCCAGTGTTATGTAAACATGCAGTTGTTTTATCGCTCATTGCCGTGTGCTGGCATATTTCCCAAACTGGTTGTGTGCACGGACTCTATATAATTTATGTAATTCTTTACGCGGATCGACATTTGTGGTGCAGAACTAAAACTTGAAAAAATCTAACACTTCAGGGTGGTCTGTGGGGATAATGGTGGTCGACTCGAAATCGGTGGTCGACGCGAAATCTGTTTATGCATATTTGCTGCATTATATAAATTTAGATTAATTCAACTACTATTTCCTGATTAAATGTGTGATGGTTGTCTTACAATTGTGTGCATTTGAATGTATATGAATTTTGTGTATAAAATAAACAACAATAAATAACCATATATATAAATGACTATGCATACCAGTAGGTTTGAAACCCATAGAGATCACGCTTGCAGCAACCAACGCCATTAACTGTGTACTTTTCACAATACTAGTATAAAATTTACATCTGCATGTATGTAAATGTAGTTGTCTAAATTTCTTTTTTTGGTTTAAATTGTTCAATAAATTAAAAATAATTTTTGACAATTAAGCGAACACAAATAAATCATATGACAGTCATTTCTTCTCTTGCATTTTTAATCAAGAATTACAATGAATCGTTTAATTGTTGTTGCTCTCAATGTACTATTCATGTTCTTCTCAAGAAATAGAAGCACGTTTCAAGGCGCTGTCTCTGCATTGAAGGCAGGAATCAGAGATTATAAATAGTGATATCTATTATTGGGGCAAAATCAGTAATTCTCATTGCTAATTCTATGTTTTCAGAATTTGAGGGTATTCGGGAAAACAAAATTACTGGCACTGAATGTTTACATATTGATAGTTTTTTTTTTCTAGAGATCAGCTACGTACCACATTCTTATTTTAATTGTGCGTCATACTCATTTATAATTTAAGGTTTTCTGTGAAGTATGATAAAGTATGATAGTCATGACTATGAACAATGTTTTATACCGTGTAAAACTCGTAATGCAGTATTATCAGAGAACGTCAGAATGCGACAAGCACAGTTTTGATGACTTTCTATTTAACCGTGTGAATGCCACAATTGTTCTTAACGACATTCTGGTGCAAGATTTTTTCACATATTTAATATTGCATCAAATAGAAATAATTTTCCATCTGCTACATTTCCTGATCAAGATTAAAAAAAAAATGTAGGAAAAGATGACAAAAAAGGATTTTGGCTTTCAAGTTAAGTTAGCCATCATCATTGTTTTGTCACTCATAAATATATTAATATATTTCACTTTCTGTTTGCCTTGCAGCCGTGCATCAAGGAAGGTTATCTACAAAAACAGACCAGTTCCTTCCAGGTATGTCTATATTTTATTTACATGTACACAGCTCCAATTGTAAAAAATAATTACAATGAATAGATTCAGATCACGTATATGCGGTCCAAGCTTTCTGACAACCCTGGATTCGTGTATCTTTCCTTTCTATTTATTTTGGATATTTTGTTTCGTTGTTTGTCTCAAAGCCTGCCTGCACCGTCCTTTTTATCATGCGTTTAATGAGCAGTCTGTGTTTTTGCTCGGTATAGCCAATCATCATGCTGGTGTTGTCGTCCGAATTGTAAGACTAAAGAATTTGTACTAGATAATTTTGTTTTTATTCTCCATTCTATGATTTTTGCTTAAATTAAAAAAAAAAGTCTATCTACTCATGCATTGACTATATCCTGCTTAAGTTTAAAGCTGTATCAGTTGTAATCTTTAAACCTGCCAAATATTGCATGTAAGTATTGTTTCCTGCCTTGCATTGCCACGATGAGCTCTTCCATCAAGCATACACCCCCCCTCCATTTTTATTCCCATATTCATTTATTTACATCATATAGTCTGAAAGGCTAATAGCAACATGTTGCATATCAGAACCTGCTTGGGATTTTTATGAAAACGAAATAAGCTTTATCAGTTAGTTTCTGACATTGGCCTGAGGCTTCCCACATTCATTTCTCGCCCCATATTATGATTGATAACCCAAAGTAATTTTCTCCTCTCAACTGGTGATGATTACGAATTTTATCATTACCTCAGGCTCTGTGCATGGGGTAGGCTCTTCCACTAATTGTCTCCCCTGCTCAGAATTTTAACATTTCTCAATTGTTCTGTTTATAACCCAGTACATGTTTGCTGCTTTCAAAATATTGGCTCTTTCTCACCCATTACTCATGCCTTTCCAATGAAACTCCCTAAACTTTGCATGTTAATATGGTATATATATTAGATACATATGTGCATTTACTTAATTTTATTAGGTTTAACCCCCCCCCCCCCCCCTGTTTTACAGCACTATTACCAGCATATGCTTCAATGCGCTGTGTTGGATGATCTTGACCTCTATAACAGAAGTCAAGTTCACACCATAATAATTAATTTTTCATATTTCCCAATTTTTATGCTTGTTTTGGCCTTCTCCAAAAAAAAATTGCAATGAAAAGTTGATCACGATGCCGGGTGAAACGGTTGAGTTTGTGATTTTATTAACTTTGTCTTCTTTTTTACCTTATGTGTTGTGATTGGCAGCTGAACAGGAAAGCCAAGGTTAGACCTATAAATTGTTTTCCTGTAAAATGTGACGGAAAAAAAAATATTTTTTAAAAATATTGATATACTAGTGTTTATTTTTTGTTGTTCTTAAATTGTGATCAGAATTTAGATACCGTTTCACTTGCATGGCCAAGCATGTATATACACTACACCGTATTTGCTGAATTTGAAATGCACCTCCAATACAGGCGCTTACATTGTTCTTCAAGCCAAAATATGTTTGTAACTTTACTCCCATTACTTGTATTAAAGACACTGATTTTAATGGGATGCTTGAATAGAGCAAATACAGTATTATTTTATGTTTTTAAACCCTCCCAACCTCTTGCTGCTCAATATATTTTTAAGCCCCTTTTACCCTGCCTATCTGCTTGATTTTTAGCATGTGTGCTAAATGAATGAGAAAATATGATATTGATATTTATTCTAATGTCTTCATCAGTTTCACAACTCCATCTTCAAGTTTGAAATGCATTACATTTGCTATTTTGACCTTTAGGGTTTGTTGCTCACTAAATTATTAACATAGAAAAATTAATTAAATTTATAAATGATTAATTTATGAATTATATTTAAACAAAGTATTAATTTCTGTATTATATGCATCTGCTTTTTGTTGTCTGCTCGTGATATACTGTAATTTATAAAAATAAAAAAAAAAATTCATGTTGTCCTCCCCCTCTCTCCCAAGCCGCTGCTTGTTGGTGTTCTCAGAATAAGACTCATAATAAATAGGTTGAGAGAAATGTGTTGCAATCACTTTGCTCCCTCCTGTATCCATGGCAATGTTATTGTAATGATAAAAATGATAAATCATCCAAGTAATATTTAACCCCCCCCCCCAAAAAAAAAAAACAAACAAAAAAAAAAACAAAAAAATGTGTAGATAAGCAACTTTTTGTATCTCATGTTTTGGCTATAACTGAGGCACTTTTTGAAGGTGATATTATCAACATCATTACCACAGGGAGATTATTTATTCGATAACAACACAATGTGTGATTTAGTTGGATAACGACCAAGTCACGATAAAAAAAAAAAAAAAATGAAAATGCTTTGTAAAGCTACATTAGATTATAAATATGATTGCGTGTCGTGTCGTAATGAATTGCGTTCATGAATGTGTGTAGAGTAATTTATTATAGTTATTTAGTTTTTTCAACAATCTGTGATTTTCAAATTGCTAAAATAATTTAAAATGGTAGGACTATTTCCTATGTCCAGTGCCTGGTAATGTAACCACTCTTACAGTTACAGTTCAATAATGAGGGAAATTTGTTAATTACATTTGAAAAATAGAAATAATTTGATGAAACCGAAACAAAGATGGCTCAGGTAGTCAATGATATGCATATAAAGGGCGCCACCACAGGTCAAAGAATTTAAAATCTATTTTAAAGCTGTAGGTTACTGGCATTTCAGCGCTGGTGGGGCTACATAATATTAGTATGAAATTATGAAACCGGCCACACAAAAACATCACATTTACACATTTGAAAGCGAAACTAAAATTTTTTTCAAAACCTATGCAGGAATAAAAGGTACATTGTACTCTCATCAAAATCAAACCTTCAATCCTAATATTTTGGATTATTTACAATTTTTTTCTATTGGTCGATGATTTGCAGTAAACTGGGGACATGTATATGCTGAAATTTGCATAATTGACACACCCTCTTGTTAACCAATAATTGCACAATTACTGTTCACAGTGATAATTTTCTAACCACCATCTTGACACTGCTTTTGTTTTTATCCCATTTTTATATACAGAGATGGCAACGGAGGTATTTCAAGCTGAGAGGACGAAAACTTTACTATGCCAAATTAGAAGCGGTAAGATGTTTTTTTTTTGTTTGTTTTTTTAAACGCTGCAGTCCTTGTGGCTTCTGAAATTTCATTGAAATCTGCATTCAATACAAACTGATGAAGGGACAATTGTTTCCAATTGTGAACTGTTGGGGGCGCTATAACAATAACAAGGTATCAGTCTACATTATATGTATACCACCTTAGTAGTTTATGGTTTGACTTGAATTAAAAATTACATGATATCTTCATTATTATAGGTTACCGCCAAAGACATCCTAAAAACTAAAAAAATTTAAATTGAAGTCATTTTTGATCTTGTTTCTATGGTGTAATTATTGTTTTAATATCTTTGCTTGGTGACATAGGATAAAAAAAGACATTAATGCTATTATTAATATCAATCCTAATATTGTTGACTATTTTATACTACCGCCTTGGATATTGGATATAATCACAAGTGAGTTTTATCAGCCGTAAGTAAAAACTGCCTAGCTAAACAATTTTTCAAGGGGTCATAAGTATGCCATGGCAATGTGAGGGGAGGGGGGCAGTACACTCTAATGACTGAGCGTAAGTGACTTGTTGGTACCATCAGAGCAAACTTTTAGTTCCCATTTTCCAAGAAGTCAAACAGAGGATCATCATTGTACCTGGATGCTATGCTTCGCTACAATGTCTGGTGTTTCTATTGTTAACTTTGATTTCTGTTCCTACATTGCGGATAAGTTTTAACTCTCACAAGTGTAATAACAATTTCAAAAAAATTGATTTAGCGAGTTTCCATTTTGATAATACAATGTTCTCTTCCTTAATGTATCGCACATATGCTCAGTAGTGTAATATTTGAAATTAGTAGTTAGAGTATTCTAATTTTTGGCTTCAAACATTCAAATATCTAGTCACGGGAATAAGTTGTAGAAAAAAGTGTAGGAAATTGCTGTGTCATAAATGTGTTATGTCTGTCCATCCTTAAAATGAAAATAGACCTTGTTATTTCTGAAATCATCCAGGTGTGAATCTTTCATTTCCATTTCTCCCAAAAGCATTATGGGTCAGCAATCTTGATTTCAAACTAGTAACTCACGGAAATTAAAGAAATTCATGCACTTTTGCACAAAAATTGCTTATTAATATTAAAATGAAAAAAATTTGAAATTATGGTTTCCATGGAAGTGAGACTACATAACACCGATTGTTTTTCCCCTGAAGTGAAGTGACTGACACGTGTTGTAATGAATCTATTTTACGTCATATATCGCGTGTAATTTATATTTTGTGTAAATTATTAAATGTATTTTATGCGCTTTGTATATGTTGCCTTCTTCCACATTACGTGACTTTCACCATTTCTATTAATTTAAAAAAACAAAACAATGTCATTTGTTTATATTTTTCCAAACTGTTACAAAATCAACTGAATATTTAGACTTAATTTCTCTGTCCTTCATGTATATAATACTGTATGTCGTTCCTATTTGTTATACTGTTTCTTTGTTATTATATACAGGGACACAGAATGGAAAAACTTTGCAGCGGTTGATTGTACCAGCTAATTTTTCTGGCCTGGTAATTAACAAAATTATGTCGTGTAGGGAGTTTCATGTCGATAATTGCTAAACCAAACAGCTGTGTTGTTCTCCACTAAGGTCGCCCACTTATGTAATCTTCAGTGGTTCATCTTTCCAGAGCTATCTGTGTTCATGGCAAATACATGTTGAATCTTGTATCTCCAAAACTAAATCTCTGAGGAGCATTCGCCAGTGTAATATTCAACATGACCTACTGAAGTAGATATAATCAACAAGAGATAAACTTGAAAAAAAGGTTGTGTGGGAGTCCTCAAAACTTTTAGATCTTTATCGACATTTCATGGGATACAACTATGCACATTCAATGGGGGGGATTACACTTGGGGAATTATTTTCATACCCAGTAAGTGCAACTTACAAACATAAAGATGGTTTGCAATCACAGAGCACATTGCATAGCTTTTTAAGTTGCTATGTTATTCACCTGTGACTATGTACATACAGACGTATACATGTATAGTGCACAGAGGTTTTGTTTGTCCACCCCAGTCATGCATGTACGGTGTGGTTGTAAATTCGTCAATACACTTGTGCACTATACATTTAATTAAAGCATTATAACAAACGTGCAAAGTAAACAACACACCCAGGTGACCAGTTATTGACTGATCCCATTGACATGTTAATGTTATTTTGATAACATTATTTTTCTTTCACACCTTGGAATGTTTGTTAGACACAGCGCTATGATCAAGTCTCTCTCCGCAAGCGTCTCGCTTGGTGCCCAAGGCAGAGTCACAGTAGTGCAACAGCAAGAGACTGAATATACAATGTTTCACACAAATTTTAATTGAGTTTTAGGGGAGCAAGACCTGAATGACCAAAAAGTGGGCGGGGCACTATGTAGGTCAAAGATCATTGTTGGTAGGGACAAAATCATACATACATGTACTGTAGAATACTTTATTTTCGCTTGGAATTTATTTTCGCTATTTTCGCTGAAGGGATGATTCCGTGAAAATAAAATCCAGCCAATATACTTTTTTTCCTATATTTCACATTAAACTCATCAAAAATCAGTGAAAATAAATTCCATACAAAATGCCCAAAAAGCCTTTTCAGTGAAAATTAATTCCAGCGAAAATAAAGTATTCCACAGTACTTATTATTCTTGGTTATTTATTGTGCTGATGAATAATATTTTACATAAATACATACAATCTCAATAAATTATTAACTGCATACAGTATTGCAACAACTGATATGATTATTATAAAAAATCCATATCCTTCGTTTTTTTTTAACTATCCCCATTTCATAGCTGTCTTAAAAGAATCTATATTATTTGGTTCGGGCTTTGAATTGCTGACAACCATCAGTTCAAACCTTCATGAAGTAGGAGGTCTCATGAAGAAATAACAAAATAATGTTCACGTTACATGTATTTGAAGAGGCAGATAAATTAGCTATGCTGCTTTCTGATATTTCAACATGCAGATAATTTAGCTAACATGCTTTCTTGAGATTTCAATATAAAATTTATATATAAATTTCTTGAAGAAATCGCTGATACATGTACACTGTGCTATAAGAGTCCAAAGAAATTCTCACTGCTACAAATTCACTGATTTGCAAAATTCTCAAAGATTTATCTTTTGCAAAACTAAAGCCGTTTATTTTTAGATAATTCAACTATTCTGTAGTGATTGATATTTCAACATGCAGATAATTTAAATAACCTCTGTTTTTGACATTTCAACAAACAGATAATACAGGTAACCTATGTTCTTGATATTTCACTTTGGAGATAATTTAGATAACCCTTCATTCTGATATTTAAACATGAGACTAATTCAACTATCAGGTATTTTTTGTACATGATTGTATTTCTGGAGTCAGATTTAGGAAGGGGGTGGTTAAAAATGAGCAAATTTCGGTGAGCAAAATTTTGTAAGTCAGTAGAGTTTTGCTCGCTAAATCATGTATCCTTGTCGTAAACAGTGAGCAAAGTTTCCCCTTGAAACAGATAAGGGCTAACACTTTGAACTAAATAGGGGTGGGCAGAGGATTTCAGATAGTATACAATATTAATATTACCTTGCCCGTACCATCAAAGATGGAAGGGAAAGGTATATTAAGAGAAAAATTTTGTCCGTCATTGTTGTTGTCGTCGTCGTCGTCGTCGTTGTTAATAATTGTTATTGTGTGCATAATAACTTTACTAATTCTATTCCAAACTTTATCAAACTTGGTCACCTTATTCATCAGTATAAAGTCTTCCCTGAGTTT